TCTTTACTTTTGATATTGAATCTAATTTTTCTTCTGTAAAAGCTTGTATTTTGTAACGGATTGTGAGTTTCAACTCCAAAAAAATTTGGTTACTTACTGCAAATAATTAACTCAATATTGTTGACATTTCTTTATCAATGAATGGCAACCACACTGAGTTTTTTCTTTTTTTCTTTTTGGATTATCATTCACTACTGACAAAAAAAAAGTTCTGAAAAATCAATTCTATTTCAAAAGCAAAGTAGATATTTTTTATATATCAATATGATAAATATTACATCTAGCAATTTTAAAAAAAAAATTATTTAAAAATTTATAGTAGTCTTTTTTTATTTAAAATCAAAGTATATGAGTATGTGAAAATCAAAGGAGATAAGTATGTGAAAATCAAAGTATGTGAGTATGTGAAAATCAAAGTAGGTGAGTATGTGAAAATCAAAGTAGGTGACTATGTGAAAATCAAAGTATGTGAGTATGAGAAACTCAAAGTAGGTGACTATGTGAAAATCAAAGTATGTGAGCATGTAAAAATCAAAGTATGTGAGTATGCGAAAATCAAAGTAGGTGACTATGTGAAAATCAAAGTAGGTGAGTATGTAAAAATCAAAGTATGTGAGTATGCAAAAATCAAAGTAGGTGACTATGTGAAAATCAAAGTAGGTGAGTATGTAAAAATCAAAGTATGTGAGTATGCGAAAATCAAAGTAGGTTAGTATGTGAAAATCAAAGTATGTTGAACTCATAAAAATTTTAGATATGTTATTTTTTTAAATAACTTTGCAGATGACCACGTTGCAGATATTTTAAAGAAGTTTTACAATATAAATAATTTTAATCGCTATAAATAAACTAATTTTATGTTGTAAAACAAAAAATGATGATGATTTGTTCACACAAAATATTTGTAAGCAAACCATCAATTACCACTTTGATTTTCATCAGGTCAAATGTATCTTCTGCATCTAATAGATTTGTACTAATAATATTAGTAGGTACAAATACACTAAGTGCATGAGATTTAACTCCAACATGTTTATCAGCCATTTTTGACCAGCTTGTTTTCAGCCATTCCTGATATATAATATTTTTATAATAATAAAGTTTTATTATATTGTTTTTAAATATGATGTAGTCTGATATATTATGATATTTTTATATATGATGTAGTCTGATATATTATGTTTTTAAATATGATGTAGTCTGATGCACTATAAAAGTTTTTATACTGCATATATTAGACCACATCATATTTAAAGTCTCAATTAAGTTGGAGAAAAAAGTTTAAAAAAGTCCTAAAAAGTTGGAGAAAAAATTTTAAAGAAATCTTAAAAAACTATCATTAAAATATAAACATGGAAATGAATTCTAATACATGGAATTCTAAAATTGATGTGCAAAGAAAAAAACTAGACAAATAAAAGTTTTTAGATCAGGAAGGGACAGTGAAAAGATACAACTTTGATTTAAGACAAAAATAAGTGTTGGTTGATGAAACAAGTAATGACATCTAAAACTACTATTTTAACTGTGTCACTCTCTTTAATCCATAGTCAGTCATATTTCATGACTTTTCATGACTTTTTTTTACATTTAACTCCTCTAGTCAGGTTTGCTTCCATTTAACAATCTTGACTAGACTTCTTTTGTCTTCATCATTTTTAACAATTTTGAATAGCTTGTGTCATTAACCTATATTTTGCAGCTGATAAATTAGTTAATAAATATAACAAAGAGCAAGTCTTTTTTAAAACCCACCTATGTTGATTTTTGAAAAGCCATTTGTTATTTACTGAATCCATTTTCTGATCAATTTTCTAACTATTTTTCTATTAATTTGTCTAACCTACATTAGTTTGGACTAATTTTATCATCACCATGTCTCCATTATATTTCTTATTTCCATCAAGGTCTTTTAAGTGTTTGAGATTGATGTTTTAGATTTATCAAAATATTTAAAGTTGAATCTTTTGTTTTGGATGCAAAAAGTTTTAGCGGTTGATTTGACACTTTTGAAAAAATTAATTAAATTAGTTGTTTTAGTTATATTTCGTCATTGGTGATCGCAGTGCATTCCTGAGGAGGAGGACCACCATTTATCCACTACTTAATTCTAATTGGTTATTATGGCACCAACATTTTTTACCTCTTACACCCATGACTTTTTGCGCTTTGTGAGCTTTTTATTATTTTCACATCTCCCAGGTCTAAATAACTGAATGGCACTGTTGGTCACTTTTTGCGATCATTGTGTCGCATAAACAAAACAAATTATTTTTTGTGGCTGGTGAGCCCCAACTTTTTCCAATGTACACCACAACAACAAAAACGAACATTAGGCTATCCCGCTGGATTTGGTTACGGCGATCAGTAACCTAATGACTACGCTGACACTCACGCCCACATTCAGTCGGAAGCTCCATAATTGGATCACATTTCAGATCCAAGCACATAGGATCAGCGCTTGCTGACTATGTGCTCGAATCTGAAATCTCACTTCATAGCACATCATTCCACACCAGCACGGGGCAGTAGCTCTTTTGGCTAAGAGTAATGACTTGTGGCCTACGGTGACTAATGTGTGCTTTCGATCAATAGAAATTCATTCTCTAGGTCTTATGTCTGATGTGCTGGCCCATAAGCGCAAGAAGTGAGTGTGTTTAGCTTTCTATTCACTTGATTTGAAAGTGAACAAAAACATAATGAGACCATACTAGACAACAAAACGGTGCATACTTATGCACTACACCATCACACCTGTAGACATCAACAGCTTCTAAAATCAATATATCATCACCATGTCTCCATTATATTTCTTATTTCCATCAAGGTCTTTTAAGTGTTTGAGATTGATGTTTTAGATTTATCAAAATATTTAAAGTTGAATCTTTTGTTTTGGATGCAAAAAGTTTTAGTGGCTTATTTGACACTCTTTTGAAAAAAGTTTTTGTGGCTGATTTGACATTCTTTTGAAAAAAATAATTAAATTAGTTGTTTTAGTTACTGGATTGTTAAGTTTTCGTTTCAACTTTCATTGTTTCATTCTGTTTTCATTGTTAACTTTTGTTGCTACTTTCGATTCATAGTCACATAATAATTGGGTTTTTTACCATTTTTAACATCAAAATGTTTAAACATTTGTTTAAAAATTTTGACCACTTGGAAATATGTGACGTCAGATTACAATCTAAAGGTTCATTTTAATTCCATAGTTACATTGCATTTAAACAAATATTGGTGGCTTTGTTAGCTTTATTAGCATGTTGCGATTCAAGGTTGTCTTTTTTAGATGAATGCAAAATTTATTGATGCTTTGGAATCTTATGGCTCATGATTTTATTTATACTTTTTTATAGAAGTTAGACCAGATGTAGTATCATTTTTGAACATCCAATCCATAAATCTATCTTGCAATTTATATATCATTTTTTTTCTATTTAGAAATGATTTTTTTTTCTGTTAATACTGATTGATCCTATCAAAACTTGTTTGATCCATATTATTTCTGATTAGATTGTTTAAATTGCCATCAGCTTTCTTGAAAGTTTCACATTTAACATGATGGTAGAGGCGGTTGTTAGAAAAAGTTTAATTGAACATTTGTTCAAGACTTTTTTCTTTATCAAATGTGATGATTCAGTCAGATTGTTAAGTTATGCTTGAAGTTGCATGCCACAATTAAACCATTATAAGATTTTGTATCAACTAAGTGTGTTGACCAAAAGCGCAAATCATTTAATGTTACTAAAGCAAAGTTTGTCAACACATATGTCTCTCAAAGTAATAAATGACAATCAACTAGAATATTTTTATGATATTTATGGAATTTTTAATTCAACTCAAATTATTGTACAGATTCTTTGCACTGTGAGTTCCCATTTTTAAAATAATTTGCTTCATGACTTCCATGACTGATTCAACTTTCTTAAATAGCATAAAGCTATCTATTGATGGCACATAATTTGTATCAAATCAAGTTTTAGTTTAAAATATTTTGTTGAGCTTCAGTTGCAAGTTGCAGTTCAGCAGTTATGCCTTTATTGGGTGAAGTTGCAATAGTGTAGAAGCAGTTGATAGATAGATTTTATCTGATTAAGCTGGTTTGTGTTTGATGTAAATGTATGTGCTGGTTGATTTGCTGATTGTTTAGACTGGATTGACATTCAACAGCCTGGCAACTGCACAAGTTTAGTATTAACAATATTTTTTAATGTAAAATAAGTAAAAAACCTAATTATAAAATAAAAAAATATAACTAACTAAAAAATAACTTTATTTTTAGCTAAAATAGAGTTATTTAAACTTAATAAAATAGTTTATTTAAACTTAATAGAGTTAGTGCTCATTCAAATGCGCTTGACACAGAACCCTTGGCAGTCATTGCAACCGAGGTAGTGGCGAGAAAGATTCGCATCACTTTGTTTTATAAGAAAACGTGAACAAACATGTATGCAATTATCTAACATACATAAACTTCAAATTAAGTAATGTTAAAACATACTGAAACAATTATCAAGTTAACAGTTTGATTTTAACTTGAAAATTGCATTGCGTCAAGCTCTCTTTAATTTTGATCTATAACATTTATTTTCATTAAAAAAATTAGTATATACTTTTTAAGTATATACTGATTTTTTCGGCCATGCTGGCACATTTGTTTAACAACGTGCCAGCATGGTCGAGTGGATAGCACGCTGAGCTTCTGAACAAGTAAGCTGCACAAAAAAAGCCCTTAGCTAGAAAAAAATTTAAAACTTTCTTTTGACAAATAAACGTTTTTTTTGCTATATTTTTTTTTTTTTTACTTATTGGGTAATATGCTTATTTCTTATTTTGAGAGAAACACAATTAAAAAAAAATTATTAGGAGAAACTCTTTGTAAAATGTTTTTTGAAAGTAATAATTTTTATCAATTTTTTCAGAACTCTTTGAAAATATGTATTCAATAACATTTGTAGACATCTAGCTTATTTTGTAAAAAAGTTAAAATTGATTTTTTTTACCTTAAGGCATTTTGAAAAACAGCTGCAGTATGGATGATACAACTAATACGCTGAAATGAGATAATTTGACACAAAATTTAAAAGTTTTTAACATAAACCACTAAACCAAAAAATTTTAAAGTAATTGTAGTTCAGTGCACTTAAAAAATTTAAGTATAGTGTATTGGTGTTTGCAAAGAAACATTATATAAATCATTTTTTAATTTTAATATCAACTATTTTTTTTTTAATCTTTGTTGCGCTTAACCAACCTATATAAACAATATTTATATAAACAAATACGTTATTTGTTTATATATACTTTGTTTATAAAATGTAAAAAATCCACCCATATAACGTTTTATTCAGGATTGTATGTTATCGTATATGTAAATAAACTTTTCTAATAATTAAAAGTTTTTTTTGCTCAAGCTGTTTTGTTTGGATTTTTGTAGTTATGTTATTATATTTTTAAAAAATGACAAGATTGAAAAAACACAAAACATATTGACATCCAAGTGGAAAATTTGAAACTCCAATTTTATATTTTTATGGGATATATTCTAATAAAGACAAAAACTATTTATTTATTACTGTTGTAATAAATACAATCTCTTATTCGTGATATATCTGAACCAGTTATATATATTTATATGCAATTGTATGCAACATAATTTAAAATAATCAAAAAATGTACGAAAAAAATGCAAAAGGAAACTTGACACGTAAAGGTTTATTTTGCCACTGACGTCAATACGGAAACTTTTTTTGGCTTAACTTTTAGATTAGCGTTTAATATTATTTTTTAGTTTTTAATCATAATCATAAGAATAAATTTTTTTTTATGAGTTTTAGTGTTTTAAAATCTTCTTAGTATATTTGTATAGCGTTATATCCATTTGTATAGCGTTACGTACAAACATCTGTAAGTGTAAACATCTTTAGCATATGTTGAGTTTGCAGGCATTATATGGAATAATTGTGTATAATATATATATAAAAAATGAAAACATTAAAATTTTATTTTAAATTTTAGAAACCATTTAGGCTATATTATTATTTTTTTGCTATAAATATATAAGCAAGATCGAAAAAATTTCAAAATTTATTATGCTGAGGGAAGGTCTTTAACCCCCAAAGCAAAGCTGATGACAGTGCACTTAACCACTGAGCTTTCATTGAAATGCATTTAGCAGAAAAACAAACCTAATTATAAGTCTCTTATAAACTCAATGTATGCAGAAAAGGTGCACATGTTAAACTTTTTGCTCTTGAATGTTTTTTTCAGAATAAATTGTTTTACTAAAAAATATTGAAGTAAATAAGGAATAGGTATATAAATAATCAGTGTGGAATAAATATTTATAGAAGAGATAGGTTTGGTAAAGACCCATTTTTTACGGATTCGGAAAGCTAGGATATAGAAGGAAAAAGTACAGAAAAATTATTTTTGGAATAGACCTACAAAGACCCGTATTTTAACAAGTCCAATCTCAGCTAGTACCTTTATATTTATTAAATCTTTGACTTTCCAAAAGCAATAATCATTGGTCGACCATTTAAAATGTACCCATTGCATAAAAGTAGAGCTCTTTGAGCAGTATGTTCATCTAAAAAATGTACCCAATATATAAAAGTATATACATATATATATATATATATATATATATATATATATATATATATATATATATATATATATATATATATATATATATATATATATATATATATATATATATATATATACATATATATATATATATATATATATATATGTGTGTGTATATATATATAAATATATATATATATATATATATAAATATATATATATATATATATATATATATATATATATATATATATATATATATATATATATATATATACATATACACAAATAGTGTTGCGTACTATGGTAAGCAATCTGATATCATACTGAAATAGCCTGCTGCTGGGGGCTTCAGTACATACAACAACTGACAAACAGCCTGATCCGCAGTGGAGTGCTGCTACATCGACTGAGGGTTTGGGATGGGGCAGCAATTGTTTCATTCATCATTCTTCGTTTTTTTTCTTCTTTTTTGTAAAAAAAACCTGGGGGTTTTTGGGTTAAGGCAAGCCAAAAAAGTGAGCAAAAGCTTATAAAAATACGCTTTAGTAAGTGATAATATATATATATATATATATATATATATATATATATATATATATATATATATATATATATATATATATATATATATATATATATAAACAAAATTTTTTTTAAACACCAAAAATGTAAATACTTTCATAAACAAGACAAATTTTCTAATTTTTAAAACCATTTTTTTAATAAAAAAACAATACATGTTTTGACTAAAACTAGGCATCTTCAGTTAAAATAAAATATTTAAAATTTGTTGAAATACCTATAAAGGTGTTTAAAAAAAAAAAAAAAAATATATATATATATATATATATATATATATATATATATATATATATATATATATATATAAATATATATATATATATATATATATATATATATATATATATATATATATATATATATATATATATATAATTATTCTTGTACAAACTAGTAATAGTATATTTATAAAAATATAACAAAATCAGTTAAAAAGTTTATCATATCATACAAAAGAAATAGGAAATAACAAAAGAATAGATTAAAAAGAAATGCAATATGTATAAAAAATAGCAGCCTAACAGAAAGTGTCATTAGTACATGGTTAACCTGGTTATTCATACCAGGTTTAAACCATTCAAATTTGTTAGTTGCCAAATCTAACACAGAAAAACACTTATTGTTTATTTGTTTTAAATAATTTTCATTAGTATGGAGATGTTTACAGATGTGAGACTTTATGCCCCTCTTGTAATGTTCAAATATTCGAGTGTTGAGATAGCGAGTAGCTTCGCCTATATAACAGAAGTTATATCCTGCATATATAAATTTATACACCACGAATGGTTTAAACTCTAGAAGAATAGGATCTTTAGAAGAAAAGAATTTAGAAAATTTCAGTAAGGTAAGATTAATTTAATATTTGCTGAACTGCTATATCTTTTACCAATTGAATTCAGTCTTTTTTTAGTTGAATCAGATATTTTTCCAAAAAACAGCAGTTTAAAATAAGACAAAAATTCTTTGATTTTTGGTTGTGGTGGAGGATTTAAATTAATCTTATTTAAATAGGAGTTATATTTTTGAAAAGAAAATATAGGTACATGTTTCTTTGAAATACTTTAAAGAGGTCATTTAAGTCAGAGTGAACCCCAAGTTTAATACTATTAATTTTAAACATTCTATTGATTAAGCATTTGATTAGACTAACTCTGTACCAAAATATATATATATATATATATATATATATATATATATATATATATATATATAAATATATATATATATATATATATATATATATATATATATATATATATATATATATATAAGTATATATATATTAGAGTGGGTCATAAAATTTTTTTTTAGAGTTGCTAACCTGGCTATAGGTAAATACTTGGAAAGTATTTACTTTTATGTATTGAACAATGTCTTCCACCCGCAACTATAATTACAAAAATTAGCAGGCCCTATTATTATTCAAAAAAAAAGGTTTTTCAAAGTTATGTGATGTAGGTACTCAAATAAAGCGAAATTTTATAAAAATTTCAAAAATAATAATATTTTCATATAAAAATTATTATTTTAGATTTTATTGCATAATAACTATAGTTTTTTAACTAAAAGTGAAAAAGGTGCATTTTTACATCTTTTTTAATAACAATTTTTTTTGGCAATATGATTTTTATAAAACGATTATTATTTTCAAATTTTTTACAAAATTTCCCTTCTATTAAGTACCCAGTTGACCAACTTTTGAAAAACTTTCTCCAAAATATTAGGGTACCGGTAATATTCCCAATAAAGTTGCGCCCTTTAAATCTATCACAATCATTATCATATTTGATAGTATCAATATTAATAACTATTAGCAATGTTTAGAGCCTGTAACAAGAAAAAAAAATTTTTTGACCGACCCTAATAAATATTTATATGTATATATATATAAAAATACAGTATATATATATACATATATATATATATATATATATATATATATATATATATATATATATATATATATATATATATATATATATATATATATATATATATATATATATATATATATATATATGTATATATATATACTGTATTTTTATATATATATACATATATATATGCATATATATGTATGTATGTATATGTATATACATATGTATATATAAATATGTATATATATATATATATATATATATATATAAACTGTATATATACATACTATATACATATTTATACATATATGTATATATATATATATATATAATTATATATATATATATATATATCCTGTATATATGTATATATATATGCATATATATATGCATATATATATATATGCATATATATATATATATATGCATATATATATATATATATGCATATATATATATATATAAATAGTATTGCATACTATGGTAGGTAATCTGACGTCATACTGAAATAGCCTGCTGCTGGGGGCTTCAGTACATACATCGACTGACAAATAGCCTGACTCGCAGTGGAGTGCTGCTACATGAACTGAGGGTTTGGGATGGAGAAGCAATAGTTTTATTCATCATTCTTCGTTTTTTTTTCTTCTTCTTTTTCAAAAAAAATGGTATAGCTTAAGGTAAGCACAAAAAGTGAGCAAATGCTTATCAAAACACGCTTTAGTAAGTGTATATATATATATACTGTATATATATATTTATATATGTATGTATATATATATATATATATATATATATATATATATTTATATATATATACAGGGCGCGACAAATCGACGAACGTGCGAACGTTTGTTGAAAAAAAGACAGAAAAACGAATGTCACGTTTCCTTACTTTTACTTAAGCTAACGTTGGCGTTCGCTTAAATTTTTTTAAAACAAACGCATAAACCTTATATCAAATCCGTTGCAAAATTAGCATCTACTAAAGTTGCTTCTCTTTATCGAGCTCAACACTTTCTTACTCTGGATTCTATTCTCTATCTCTATAAATCTCAAATCCGGCCTTCTATGGAATACTGTTGCCATATCCTGGGCGGATCTTCTAATGATGCCCTTTCTCTTTTAGACAAGGTGTAAAAACGCATTATAAACATAGTTGGACCTGCTCTTGCAGCCAACCATCAACCTCTGTCACATCGTCGTAATGTTGCTTCTCTTTCTCTTTTCTACAAATACTATAATGGGCACTGCTCTAAAGAGCTAACGTCTCTTGTGCCATCTACTAAAATTCATTCTCGTGTTACTCGTCATTCAATTAAGTCTCATCCTTTTTCTGTTACTGTTCCTAAGTGCTCCAAAAAACTCTTATTCGTCTAGTTTTTTTCCTCGAACATCAGTTCTTTGGAATTCCCTTCCTTCATCTTGCTTTCCTGATTCATATAATTTGCAATATTTTAAGTCGTCTGTCAATCGTTATCTTGCTCTACAATTTTCATCTTTTCTCTTCCAGTAACTTCCAACACTAATTAGTGGTTGCTTGCAACCTTGTTGGAAGCGAAGATAATTAAAAAAAAAAAAAAATCTTTAGTAATTTTTTATTTCCAAATAATTATGCGATTGATAGTTTTTTATTTATTATAAAAAAAAACATAATTAATATAAAAAAAAAATATTACTAAAATTTAAAACGCAGTTTCAATGACATTAAAAGAAACCGCACTAATACTTTCTTCAATAGCGTTTCTTTTAAGTATGCAACTGTAGAAAAAATTATATTTAGCATGGTTTTTACATGCGTTTACAAAAGAATGGCAAGTTCAACTTAAAATAATTGCATTTGCAATTACTTTAAACGGAACCATGTTAAAACATTCTTTTTCCAAAGTGCTTTTTTTAAATTTTCTTATTTATCATTAAATTAATGTTTATTTGCTGTTTTTAAAGTTTTAAAAAAAATTTGCAGAAATATATAAAATTTAATATATTTTATAGAACTATTATGTTGATTATAGTTTTCATTATTTACTGTGCGTTTAACAACAACCAATAATATAATAATTTTTTATTAAATACTTAATATTATAAATATAATAACAGCACATCAGGTATTTGATAGTAACTTATTAAAATATAAATTTTATAACTTATTAAATGCTTAATACTATATTATTATTTTTAAATATTTAAAAAATAAAAATGTCAAAATAACTTTACTTTATTTTTATATAGTTCCCTTTTATTTAAGTTTATATCTTTTTTTTATAATTTAACAAACTAAATTAAGAAAAATTCACTATTTTGTATTAATAGATTACAGTTTACAGTGAAAAGTTTATTGCATATTAGTTATCATTAATTTGCGCACACTTTGCAAATGCGTGAAAAATTGTTTTAAATTAACAAAAATTGATAAAATTCAATAAGTATCTTTGATATATCTAATTATTATATATCTTATTAACTAGAATAAAATTAATTTGAAAATAAAACTCCCTTATAATTATATAAAAAAATTTATTTAAATAAAAAAAAAAAA